GCGGGTCTCCTGGCTCTGCCTGCGCCTCGCAACTCTGGCCTTGTCCAAAGTGTTTGATGTCTGTACGTGTCTCTCGTGCCACGGGGTGCAGGGCTGAAGCGCAGCTGGCTGCGAGGCTGCTTCACAGGCGCCCTTGCTCTCCAAAGGCCTATTTAATTTTCTCCTTCAAGGTGGTGTTAGCAACACCAAGAAGATGCTGCCGGCTGCCTGGGACAAGTGGGACGTCCGTCCTCTCTACCGCTGACGTCATTTTCGTTCCCTTAATTCCCCCTCAGGGGCCCAGGCGAGAGCGGGCACCGCCAGCTCTGATCAGCGTTCACAGCCTGCTCTCCCGATGTGTGGCAGAGCAGAGCGCTGCCAATGTCACCCCCTTGCCAGGCAAGATTCATTATTTAAGCATCCGGGGCGGTGGGAGAGACGTGAAGGGGAGAATTATCCTCTTCTGCATGCATGACCTGGCCAAAGTGCACCCGTTTCTTTCGGTGAATCTGGGTGTGCCAGGAATGCAGGAGCAGCCCTCCGCTATGGCTGGCTCCTGTGTGCTGTTGCCTACGCAGGCCGGTGGGGAAAGGAAATAAGCTCCTGAGCTGTGGATGGCTTTATCTGCAACTCTTCCATCTGCTCACAGCACTACACAGATAACTGCAGGGTGCCTGAGGAATTAGGTATTTGGAGCTAGCACTTCTGCAGTCTGGCAGCACAGCAGCTCTGGGCCCGGCTCAGCTGCTTTAACGAAGGCCGACTCCTGCATGGGGAGGGTGGAAGGCAGCAGTTGTCAAGCTGGTTTTGTGGCGAGGGCCAAGTGGCGCTTCTCATTGTGGACCCTGGGCCAAGGCCGGGTGTTTTTGGCAACCCCGCCCCACCACCTGCCCTCCCTCCCACTGCAAGCCAGAGGAGGTTTGCGTTTAACCAGGGTGTAAACGCGGCCCTTGCTTAGTACTAGAGAGCTGTTCTTTCTGCAGGGCTGATGTGGGATCTCTGTACTCTGAAACCAGGCCCTGGTCTTGTACTAGTTCAATATCACTGCAAAAAGGGTGCGGTACTCTCTGCTGAAGGACCACACCCCATCTCTGCCTTTTGTTTATCTAGCAAGACATCCCTTAATCTGCCTTCCTAATGGGGGATCCAGCATCATCCCTGGGGCAAAGTCACCTGATTTGTGGGCACAGCTGTGGAAAGTGCACGCAGTGTGCAGAATTGTCACCCGTGTTTGAAAGTCCCCTGTACTTAAAGCACCGTCGTTTAGGCTCGGGAGTCAACACCCCACTGAGATGAATGGTATGTCACCTTCTGAGCTGCTGGCTCTGGCTGAAAGCTCCCTGTGATAGGTGTGGATTTCCTGTGTCAGTCTGGTCACATGCAGAAGGCTTTCTTCACACCACTTGTAACCTGCAGCAGTGTCACTCAAACCATCCTCCCCCATTCAGGGCTCGGTAGGGCCGTTGCTCTTGGCCACACAAACTGCTCCTCCAGGAGAGTCGGGGGCAGAGGTACTCGGATGTGGGTGGCCAGCATGGCCTGCACTCAAGTACCTTTCACCGTAGTTCAGGGTGCTTGGGTGAAGGTAATTAAATACAGGGGAGCATTTCTATGCATGGGTGGGAGGCAAAACTCACGTCCTCGGCTGTACTGCACTGGTTTGTTGGAGCTCCCCTCCATGCCTGGTTCGTGCCAGGAGCAGCTCAGCTCCTGGGCACAGCAAAACCCAGTTTCAGGCGCGGGTGGGTGCTTGCTCTGCGAGATGTTTGGGAACAATGAATGAATCTGCAGCAGACAGGACCGAGAGGGGTTCACGTGCGTGACAACCTCCTCCATTAAGAGGGGGGGGCGTGGAAAACCTGCCTCTTTTCCTGCACTGACCTTTGGAGTGGTGAGGCTAGTGCTTGGGTTGCTTGGGGAAGGCTCTCACCAACAGAACAGCCCTCATTTCTCCATGGTTGCTTTCAAAGGAGCTAATCCGCAGCCCCGCCCTTGGTGCTAGCTCTACCTGTGGGTGTGTCTAGGCTCCAGAGCAAGGGCTGTTCTTGGCTCTCCTTAGCAGTGTGTGTTCAGTCCTGGATTGGTGTCTCCGGTGTAGCCAGGAGCAAGTCTCCCAGCCTGGATAGACAGATTTGCGTTCTCAGGGCTGAAAGCAGCATGCCAAATGTAGCAATGGGAATGTTCTGGCTTGGTCAAAAGCCAGGCTGACCCCTTGGGCTTGAAAGCCCAGGCTCCTGCCCATACCGAAGGGGGAGCAGGCGGGATTCCGTCTGTTAACGCGTGTTAAAAGCCGAGTTGGCGTATTGTCACTGCTGTTTCAACCCGAGTTAGGGTTCCCCACCCAGTCGGTGTGGGGCATTGGTCCCAGGAAGTCGAGCAAACGTGATGTAGGGCACAAGTGTCTTGATGGGCAGACACACTGCACCGATGCAACAGATATAATGGCTCATCTGGCAAAGGACCAGAGCAGCCCTCTCCCCACCTCCCTTCAGGAATGGCGCTGCAG